TATGACCGCTATGTGGCCATCTGCAAACCTCTACATTACACCACCATCATGAGCAGCAGAGTCTGTATCCTTCTTGTCTTTAGCTCTTGGCTCGCAGGATTCCTGATCATTTTTCCACCAATAATTCTACTGATGCAATTGAATTTCTGTGCCTCCAATGTAATTGATCATTTTATCTGTGATTCTTCTCCAATTTTGCAGCTTTCTTGCACGAACACTAGCTTTCTCGAATTCATGGCATTTTTTTTAGCTGTGGTAACACTTATGGTCACCTTAACACTAGTTATTCTCTCCTACACATACATCATCCGTGCAATTGTGAGAATTCCTTCCACGAGTCAAAGGAAGAAAGCTTTTTCCACTTGTTCCTCCCACATGATAGTTGTCTCCCTCTCTTACGGTAGCTGCATTTTCATGTACATTAAGCCTTCTGCAAGGGAGAGAGTGTCTTTAAGCAAAGGGGTAGCTGTGCTCAATACCTCAGTGGCTCCTCTTTTGAATCCTTTCATATATACACTAAGAAACCGGCAAGTGAAGCAAGCCTTCAAGAACATGATCCAGAGAATGGCCTTTTCTTCAAATAAATGAATGTGATTATGTGAAATATGTACTCCTGTTAGCAAAGCTGAATAAAACTCTTTGCCCTTCTCCAGATAAGTTATTTGAAAACCTCATTTCATTATGGCATTTAGGCATGTTTATATACTGTCAATGTCTGTTTTCTTAATAGTCTAAAAACAAGGTCCTAACTACTTTAAGTTATAGAGAAAATGGTCAATTTCTTACCTTTATAACTGAATTTTAGAAAAGTCAATAATCTCCATTGTTTCTCATATCATAGCAAGGTATATTATAAATCTATCCAAAATGTAAAGATTGTTAGAATATAAGAAGCTTGCTAAAAACCACATACAAATAGAAAACTTATTTTATGTGAAATAAAAATATGTGTTTTAATTAATATCTCTATAATTTTTCTTCCATGTCACCAATAAAAATGTGTTACATAATTGTTGTCTATTTGAATTTGCCAATAAAATATAGTTATAGTATTAGAAAATTAAATAAAAATTTAAGATAAAATGTTTTGTCAGAAATTTTATCTTTGCAATTGGAAAT